TGTGCCTGCCGCACAACTGATATCCGTAATCGCATAATGTGGCGGACAGTCGGCGAGACATACCGGTACGTCGCATATCTATACGTATATTTAGACTCGAGACGAATTTCTTCCGCGATCGGCTTGAAAATAACCGGTAAATCAGCCACCGATACGCTTCGCGTGAGATAAGAAATGTATGTACAACACACGTATGTACGTGTTCGCGTGGTGAATATACGGGAAACGTAGGGTGAAAATACAAATCGAGGGGAAACGTTGCTTCGTTTTGTACAGGTTAGAAAATGCGCGAACGGTTCGTTTGCTCTTGTTCTGGCGCGCGCGCCACCGTATATTCTCGCTTTCTCCTGGGCATGATTCGAACGTACACCTACTTACGTATCGCACGCATGAACGTCGAGAGAACGGACAGCGTCTAATGAGTTAACGATGATCTCGCACTCGCACAATTATGCTTACTTATCCTCGAAGGTGATGGCCGATTTTCTGCCTTTTCTTGTTTGATTTCATACGTACTTCTTACGCTTAGTTTCAATATTCGAGGTTATTGTTTTTAACCCATTTACGCGGCAGTCATTACAAATTATTTGAAGTGGATCTTGGCATTCGTGTTCCAATAGCAATTGAATTGGAGGCCAGCTACCGATCCTTACCGCTGTCGTTTCTCTGCGCCAGGGCGAGAAGAACGAAGAAAGACGAAGAAAGCAGGCTTCCACGTTGGCCCGATCGGTGAAAGTCGTCCAAAATGTCACCAGAGTTTAACCTTACTGCGAATACGCACAGCTGAAATGCTTTACGGGACAAGTGGGCAAGTGTGGCGAGGTGAGAGTAGTACTTATGCATAATATTGCGTAATTCTTTCCTGAAATGGCCAACACATTGGGATGAAGCGGTAGGGAAGGAATACCTAAAAATGATTTTACCTTGAGGCCAAAATCAAATCGTCCTGTCAAGTGCCCGATGGTAAACTGGAACTCCTCTATGTCGACGGGTTACTAATTAAATAAATAATCAAAAAGATTACATCGAAAGAAAAACGTATATTGGAAATATTTCTCTCGGGCGCTTTAACACGTTTTAAAGCGTGTAACTTTTTCTAACAGAAACTTTTTTCCAACATGCGTGTCACGTCTTTTTTTTTTAATAAATTATTACTTGCTGCGAAAGGTAACGCTGCAAACGATACTTGCTTAGAACGCTTTAATACATTCCTGTATAACACATTTAATACACTCTTGTATATGCTTTAATACATTAATGTACCTCATTGAAACATAGGTCGAAAAGTATCTGAAAGTATTGTTGAACAGCGAAGAGAAAGGGAAAGTGGCCTTCCGTTTCTCAAACGTCTATCGGCTGTCGTTGACGCCATCGACCTTGCCAGATGCCGATCGTTATTTTCTGCAGGAAAAACGGATTAACGAAGTTGGCGAACTTGTGCAGTGACAGCGACAGCGATGAACAGATTTTTTTTCAAAAACAGGAAAAACGTTTCAGACGTACATGAAAATAATGCTAATGATTGGAATTGGGTTCCCAAAGATAATAATTCAAAAAGTTTTATCTTCACTGAAACACTAGGTATAAACCCTTTATTTTTGGAAAAATTAGTAGATAGTCCCACTGTAATAGATTTATTCAATCTAATATTGACGGATGATTATTGGGACACGATAGCTATTGAGACAAATAGATATGCAGCACAGATGCTAAATAGTGAAAATTACAAAAAAGAGAAATACAAAAAGAGGAGTGAAATTACTTGGGAATGCGAATTTTAACTTTACACATTCCAAAATGTTTCAAAAAGTATCATAAATAAACTATTAATACATATATATATATATATATATATACACAATCTTTTGTTAGACTAAAGACTTTTTTTTTGGAAAATTTATTATTAACAAGTAGCATAACACGTTATATATTTCACTTTTCTCTTTACTACTATACCGCCATATCATCTAGTTAGCTTTTTTTTGAATCGTTTCTACACTGCATCATCTAAGTGCATTTTGTCCAAAAGATGGCTTAACACGTTACAGCAGAACGTATGTTTTTAAATAGGACTCGTACGAGTAACACAAATAGCGAGGCGAAGAAGTAGGAAGAAAGAGGGAATCCGAAGAATTCGAGTCACACCTAGAAACAATGAGTTCCAACATATATTTACCTCTGGAAGGGAAAACAAAAAGAAATTAAGGAACGCAGAGAGATGGAGACATGGGCGAGGAAGCCCACCCGAGTCTTCTTCCTCCGTTTCTTTCTCATCTCGTTGATCAGTCTCCCGGATTGCATACAGAAGAAGGTTGGAACTAAGTTAGAGAGCCTCTATGCACACAGTGTGTCACGCGCGAGAAATGCAGTTAGCCCGCCCACGCAGTTTCGCGGAAACTCGACCCTGGAACAATGCCTTCCTTCCAGGGGTACACGACCTGAACTTACCACAATACTTATTGGGAATACTTATTGTACTCAATGACCACGTGCAAACGTGCTTTATTAAAAGCACTCCTTTCTCTTGTTAAATTTCGCTGACGCGTTATTCATACTCATTATTCATTGTCAAGCGCGTTGGAAAAGTTCCAATGATGAGCGATCGGTCCAGTTGAATAATTACCTGTGACAAATATGTGCTGTTATTTTCTATATACATACAAATAGTGTAAAGAACGCATTACGAAGAGATCAACGGTATAGAGGTTAAGACTACTTTTAGTGTCAACTTTCATGGATTTCAAAATGTCTACATCTTTCACCTAGATTTATATAATATTCAACGATGTAACTCCATAAACTAACTACTCTAGATATTCTACAGAGAGAGAGAGAGATAGAGAGAGAAATTTATAATTTTCTTTTTCGTAATAAAATCATCTTAGGATAATGAATAGAAGACGTAAGAACAATGAAAACGATCGCATCTACGGTCTCGCGCGATGCGATTGTACCAACTTTCCCCTAGTCGTTAGTCCCGTTGCGTTTCGTGATAAAGCTCTATTCGTTCTGGTTTTTCGCGAGCACGCGAGAAACGAGCTGGTACACCTCGATTTCGTTGATATACGAATGTAAGAACCACGTGCTTTCTGAATTCACGAACGTATAAGTTCTGTGTAGGTACAGAAGGATCGTTCCTCAGGTGGGAATATAAGCAGGGAATTTATGGCGCGTGCGAATTAACTCGATGACGCAATCAAACTTCCTCGTTCTATTTCGACAGTAATTGTGCGACATTTGAGTGTGTCTCGATTGTAATCCTTTACAATCAGGAATAGTGCATACTCACATACTTACAATGACGTATCGTCATTACTGCAAGATCGTCAATTAAATTTCAATTATTCAATGTAACGAGCTACTGTTCTCTTTCCTACAAGGCAGAATTACGATTATTTCAATTGTCACTTTAATAATCGCTAAATAAAAAAATCACGCATTTGCAAATTTTCGACTTTAAGTCCGATTTAATTTTTCAATCGTTTGCAGCTAATTACCGTTTGAAATGTTTCTTTTGTTTTTTTGCTTATTCCGTGATTGATTTCTCCGATTTCTCCTTAATGACGACAGGTTAAACGTGATCCTGCTCATTGTTCGTGATCTCGTATTATCTGTGAGAATTTAACCCTCTATGGGCCCGTGTAACTTTCAAGTCACATACTAATATATCGATATTTTATTAAATAATTGAACTTTTTTCCACAAGATGGCACATACGTCTTGTTGTACAATGTCTCCTTATTAGCCAGTAACATTCTTGATAACAGTTATCACCTTTATTCTGAAATGTTCAATTGCTTTTGCAAGTTGTCTGTTGAATTCATTATTAATTTGTATTTATAGGTTGATGTTTGTTAATTTTACTTTACATAAATATTTTTATAGTCAAGAAAAATATTCGACCTACAGGGGCCTATAGATTAAAATTAGTCGTTTCTAAATTCGTTTCATCATTTTTCTTTTTCGTTCGCCGATTGGTATGCGTTGCGAGAAACACGCGTTTCGTTCAAGTTCGCATAAAAGTACGATGTGACGGGCGTGGCACCAAGAAAGCCGGGAAAGTGATATCTCTTTGCTGTCAGTGTCCGTGTGTTCTGCCTCCATTCAGGAACGGATTAAGGCTTTTGTTGCCCCTGTTGCTCAAATGCACAACTCGCACTTTAAATCACATACGTATGTAAAAACTGCATTTCTCTTTCTTTCTCAGGCTTCATTTAAAAGTATAACTTGACGTTATTCGAGAAACTTATTAGATATTTACAGATATTTTCGGTCATTGAAAACTGGAGATTTGTGAACTTGTAAGCAAATACCTTAATTTTATATAAAAAGCAGATGTAAAGTTGTTCAAATGTACGACTAAAGTCGAATGAAATTTTTCATTCTGTTTATTGTCCAATATGAAACGAGTTTATACGTGCATACTTTGTTACGAGCAAACTGCAACGTAGTTCCGCAAACGCAAATTAATTTTGATTAGTTTTTTTTTTTTGCAAATAAGGATTTGTTCAATTCTTGTGGACAGTGAAATGCTAGCGTCACGTAGCGGTGAAACGGTGAAATTAAAATATGTTGCTGTCCTTGTCGTACACTATCGCGATCCTTGTCTGGAAACAGCGCTGCCATCTAAGCGTCTCTAAATTCCAGTTGGAACTAAAAGGAAAAACAGGAAAAATTCAACAGATGGAAGCACCGCATTCGCAGATGTGGCGGCGCGAGTATTTAAAAAAGCGGCAACGATGATTTAAAGAAGAAAATAAAAATGATTGAAGAAGAAAATAAGAGAGCAGAAAATATTTTGTATTCTCAGTTGTCAATGATCGAACAAAACAAACAATTGTTATAAAACTTTGTTACACATTAATATTAATAAATAGTTATTGCTATAGTTTTTTAAATCTCGTAATATATTTATTTAAAAGAGTAAACCTCCATACAGATAATTTTGTAACATCAATTTCACTCAAATTTAAATAAACTTGGTCCATTCAAATATATAAATAAATATGTAGCTATAAATAATAATTTTAACGTTCAGAACTCGAAGATAAGTTGCACAGAAATGGTTTAATTCTTACAAATAGAAAGTACATTGTGTTTAAATAATTACTTAACATATACATTAAAATGTTAATGTATACGAGAACAGTAAAATTTATAAGTATTGCCAAGGTCAAATTACAAAAGTCTACGCTCTTCCTTGATATTTAGAATGGAGATAAAGCAACTTTTGTTTTCCGTTTACCGAAAGACTAAGTGAGAAAAGGAGCCGGATAAGTAACGGTAGAGAATCCAGGTTTTAAGAAAGATCAATGCTTTATTTAGTTTAAGTAGTCCATATATTTAATACAAAAGCGTAGGTTTTGATTAGCTGAAACAGAAACAAAAGAGTAACTCATCAAAAAAAGGACATATAATTAAGGCAAGAAACGATTAATGAAAATTTGGTTAAATTCACTAAAAGAACAAGAAGAAAAAAAGAAGAATGCTCGACTTACCATTTGGCGATAGAAATTGGTTTACAAGAGTCTGACACCCTGTCGTACGAGTACCCCAACGAACATCGCAACAGCTGCGGTCGCCCGTTCCTGCAAACTACCACGTTCGTGCAAAAATCGTTCAACCTGTGCACGTCCCCGTCGTTGCACGGGGCGGTGCTGAGACTAGGGGGGACATTTTGCACGGTGTTCCACGGATTTTCAAATTGTTCAGGCATCTGCTGCTGCTGTTGTTGTTGGTCTTTTTCGATTTGCAGTTGCGCGGCTACAGGTCGTTGGTGCCAAGAAGCAAATTGTGACAGTCCATAAGGCGATGACTGAACTGGCTGTGGTGGTTGAGGTGACTGAGATGGTTGAGGTGGTTGAGGTGGCCCGTAAGATGGTAATTGCGACGGCCCATAGGATGGTGGTTGTGCAGGAAGCGGCGACGGTTGCAACGGTCCGTAGGATGGTGGTGATGGCCAGGTCGGTGAAGTAGCTGACTGTGATGGCGGCTGGCTCTGCGGCGTGGTCGGTTTAGGCGGAAGCGAGGGAGTTACCGCGCCTTTACAATCTACGTTGTACGGGTAGTCACAGACGCCCAATACCTGTCAGGTGAGATAAGTTACAACAAACGAAATATAAAGTTGATTACCAAGTTGATTACAACGAATACGAGACGGAAGGAGAGGTGTATTCAATGTGAGCATTTTGCTCATGCAATTGAGAATTACAAACACTCGTCGATTCGAGAAACAAGCGAGATTGTCGCTGTTCGTTATTTGGATTTTATAACAGAGATGATCGAAACGAGATTGTAGAATAGAACGAGTAGAAGGTTAATGCCGAATTTAGTTTCAAGCAACGACGCGGAAGCCTGCTTATAAGCGGCCTTTGACCGCTTAGGGGCCGAAGGAAGTGGAAGTTCGAAGGAGACTCTCACGATTACGTGATGTACGGGTCACGTACGCGTTACGATTTAAAATTCCGCGAATACTCGACGAATAATTCGGGAATGAAGTTCTTACGTCATTGTAGACCGAGTTGCCGGAGCAAGCGAATTTAATCGGCTTTCTGTAAACGCACACGTAGAATTCCGAGCAGTTCGTTGCACTTCTGTAACGGCCGTTTGGTTCCGGGCAGAGTTTCGCACCGCTAGACAGAGATGGTCCTGAAGGGGAGAGAAGAGAAGTTGTTAGAAAAAAAATCCTCTCACGTATCGTCTGGTTGTAGTATAGAATAACAAGACACTATACTTACAGAATAACAAGATATTACACTTGTCAAGTTTTTTTTAAAAAGCAATCTGTGAAATTATATATCTTATTTCTCTTATTTACTTCCGAACAATGTCCCGATTTTCCAATTTTCTAAAAATCTAAAAGCCATCCTAAAGTCTCCGAAAAATTAATCGAACAAGCGCGACAAGCGAAAGTTCACTTACTCGGCGTGGGCTTCGGCCGATCGCCGCAGTTCACGTTGTAATCGTAATCGCAAACTAGGCTGACGTCGTTGAAGAGTAATCCGTCGGGACAAGATTGTTCGACAACCGTGTCGTCCCAACAATTCAAGTAATTGGAACAACTCCTCGCACTCGGGAACTGTCCCCGGGGAGCGAGACAGCCAGGCGGGGGTGTTGCCATCGGTATCGGTTCAGCGGTTATAGGTCCTGGTAACTCGTTCGTTTCTCCGGGATTGGGAAGACTCGGGTACAATTGCCTTGTGTTTGAAAGCTCCGAGTCTTGCAACTCCGTAACGTTTGCAGACGGGTTGGAGGGGTTCTTGTTCCAAACGTTCGCGTTGTTGTCCAATTTTTGCAACTCCACGAGGTCCCACACGTTTTCTGAATCTACAAGAATGGAATGTAAGATAATTGGACTTTTCCAAATGTATGCACATACGTATAATAAAATAACATGAAACTATTACCACATTATGATTTTGCGCCAATCATGCAAAATCATAATACTGTATCAACCAGTAACGTAGTTACCAAAGTGGTCAAAATGGCCAGTTTACAATGTTCCACAGAAATCTTATATATTCTATTTTTACAGACTTGAATGACTTTTAGTAGAATATATAAATAGCTTGTGTTCTTCATTGCATTACAAACTTCTTCTTCTATGCACTTTAATTTCTTTGCTACAAATTTTATACTTTGGTGGGTAGTTCTAATGTTTCCCAAATTTCTTTAACGCGAAAAGGAATCTGTTGATTCTATAGGCCAAAAGTCACTTCCTACTAAAACAAATCCGCAATTTTTTCACTGCATATTTAAAAAAGATTTGTTTTTTTTCTTACATTTTGATATCAATTATCACAAAAAAAAAAGAAAAAAATAGGTGGGAAGAAACTAGGGGCCCACTCCATACAAGATAATGACAAATATCATTCCCTATTGCCAAAGTATCCACTTTTTACTTGCCGACGATGAGAAAATTAGCGTGTATTGGCACTGACCTTGACGTTGCTGTCGAGGGTGTTCAAGGTGCGTCCGACGACGCGCCGCGGTGGCCGTTCTGCTGGCGGCGTCGCAGAGGCCGAGCACCAAGAGGGCCAAGAATATCAGGACGAGCCTCATGGTAACCTCCTGATCGGGTTGCAGGAGATCCAAGGAGAATCGCGAGAACAGAACACCCTCGAGGAGGTCGGTTTGAACTCGCGACGAAGGGGTCGAGGGATCGTTGGCGAACCTCTCGCGGTGTCCGAATCTTTGCGCACGATGTTCTGATGCTGGATGGCCTGGACCTGGTCGGTTCGAGGGCTTACATAGGGCGTCCCCCACCATGGGGGACTGCTTCGTAGGGAGTAGCTTCGCAGGACCTCAATTACACACCGGCGCAGGACTCTGCGGTGGACTCTCCATGGCTCAGGAAGTGCACGATTCTTCTCTTCGACGCCGCTCTTCTTCCCGCGCCGAAATTCCCTTCTCCCTCCTCCTCCCCTTCCCGAACATATACCGGATCGTACACGCCGCAAGGACACACGACTCAACGTGCGTTGTCGCTTGACTTCTTATTGGACGAAATTTAGAATGACCCGACTCGGAGGTCTTTCGACCGCGGATTGTCACCGTGGTCACCGCACTATCCGCGGAAAAGGCCTCGGTCGGTAGCGACGCTCGCGTAGGATGTCACGGTCTCTTCTCAGACCATACGTACGTATTTGGATGGATTTCAGCTTTTCGAAAAGTTAACGGTAGTTTCAATGGCCGTCGAATGCCGTTTCTCCGTGCATTCGACTCTTTCGTATTTTCGGTGCGGGAATCCTCGCTCGGTTGCATCGGACGACGATATTTGGCGACCCTGCGGTGGATTAAAAAAATTTCATGTTAAATTAGACAATTAGTTCGCTTACACGTTCCTTTGAAACAATGTTTCTGCTCTTCAAAAAAAAAATACATTTCTAAACAAACCTGCATAACAATCAAAAAGTTTATTGATAGTTTTGTAGCCATTTTTGCAAGAAAAATCTTCTACACACAAACTCGGTTGCCAAGTGGGTAGTCGATTAGTCATCAAATTCAATGAGACTAAAACTCGGATAGATAATTACATTTCTTTGAAACAAAATTCCTGTTCTTCAATTAGAAAACGTACCTCAGTAACAATCAAAAAGTTCATTGATAGTCTCATGGCTATTTTTGCAAGAAAAATCTTCTACACACAAACTCGGTTGCCAAGTGAGTAGTCGATTAGTCACCAAACTCAACGAGACTGAAACTCAGATAATTAGATAATTATTTCTTGAAACAAAATTCCTCCTCTTGAATTAGAAAAACGTACCTCAGTAACAGTTAAAAAGTTTATTGATAATTCAGAATCTATTTTTGCAAGAAAAATCTTCTATATGCGAACTCGGTTGCCAAGTGGGTAGTCGATTAGTCATAAACCAAACTCCATGAAACTGAAGTTTGCATCAGAGGTTTATTCGAGAGAAGAGAGAGAGCAGTACACGTTTTCGTTTCGTTTTCCACGGAATTATCCACCAATCAGAAACATCTCGCATGGTTAATTAGAAACCTGTAGCATCCTTGTTCCAAGGTGCCCGAAGTATCTCGAAGGACGGAACAGAGAGTCCGATCGTTGAACCCCCGAATCCTCGGAGTTGGAATGCAGAGGAGGATACGCCATCGAGATTGCTCTTTAGAAGGTTTCTCATTACCCGAAATGCATTCCGATACTCGGTCGGGGACGCAGATTCCTTGAATGATTCGACGCCGTCTGATTTTTCCCTCCTACCTTCCGCGGGATATTGCGTGAATTTTACGACGCAGGTTGCGTTGCAACCATTGGGGACCAATGCCTCTTTGGGCTCACGTCGTCCTTTTTATTATCCGGCAATGAGGAAGATTCCATGCCGACCGGTCGAACGAACCAACGAAAAAAAAAAAAAAAAAGGAGAAAAAAAAATACGAAACGAACGGATCCACGTAATCCTGAAATCCAGATATTTCGTGGTCCTTCTCGTCGACAACTTTCGACGAGAATATCGTGCATGTGTGCTCGTGAGTCACGCGTGACCTCGCCACTTGGCTTTCCACGCGTGCGACGATTCACATTTTATCCGGGAACGGTCGAAACGGTTGAAACCTCCTTGAATTTCGACTATTTTCATGGTTCGCGTCATTTAAAAGTTCATTACCCTTTACGTTCAACGATTATCGTTAACCCTTCTGTGAGCCCGCGTACTTTCAACGTTTGACTAATCTTTCAATATATTGGTATTTCATTAAATAATCCAATTTTTTGCCACGAGGTGGCGGATACATCTTATTACGTAATGTCTTCTTATTGTTATTGACCAATAATATTGTTGGTAACAGTCATCGGTTCTAACCTGAAATATCAAAGTAAATGCTTTTGCAATGCTTTCTCTTCTATCTCTTCTATCAATGTTTGTTAAACCAAAAAAAGCGTAGGTAAGAGTATAACAGATAGATGCTGGAGGAACCATCTTGTGCAATTGTTATTTTTTCTTCTGTTGTTAAACAAGAATAATTGTTCTTGGTTTGTATATCAATAATAGATTATTTGTTTTACTATTTTCATATGATACAACTTTTTAAGTCACAATGAGCTATAATAGTAGGATCCAGTATGTTTGCGATAACGCTTGTTTCCTTTGTTTTTTAGTTTTATGTATATAAAATATGAGTACAAAATTACATAGAAATAAAAGAGCAATACGAATAAGAAGCATTAGCTTCTGATAACATGTCTAAGAAGATTCTTTATTAGACTTTGACTCGGACAAAGATCATCCATAGTTTTTAACTGACGATGAATAAATATTATCGACAGCAACGATGAATTTAGTGGTAAATCATCATCAAATGAGGATGCAAAGAGGTACCGAAAATAAAATGTTTGAAATACAATGTATATCCACATTTAACGCCAAGCACAAACTGTTTTATGGAATTCCATACTTAAAGCTTCGTACACACAACTACAAACGTTGCAAGCCATTGTTACTTCAAAGTTACAGAACGTATTTATTATAATGAAATCGTTGAAACTACTGCATTCATTGTTAATCTGTACTTACAAGTTAATATCTGTTGATTTTTAATATTATTTTTTTTTATAGTCATGAAAACAATTTGGCCCATAGGAAGTTACAGTATAGAGAAAATGAATTTATTTTGGATTGGGTTTAAAATTCATGGAAATTTTTTTATATTTTTGAAGTAGCACTTTAGAAAGGGCACATATAATGGTTGGCAGAATGATATGAGAGACCTGTGAAAAATGAAAAGAGTGAAAGTTTGAACGCTACCAGATTTTATGATAAAGTTACAGAATTGATCTTGAACTGATTTAAGCCAATCGTGTATGTATCGTATTAATTTATTATAATGGACTTTCAGGTGTGCTTATAAGCCAACCATATATAGGAGACATCTGTGAAAAAAGATCATGGGACACCGTAGGCGTTCGTGAGTCGAACATCCGATCCCCGAATATCTTCGAGTCTTCCTCCAAGAGCAAAAGTATTTTGTTCCTTTTGAAAGAATACACTTATTTTTACATGGCGTATTTCACGAAATAATGGAAAAAAAAATGACGACAACTTTCACGATTTTTGCAACGAAACGTCGATACGATACGATCTCCTCCGTATGAATCTCGACAGTCAGAATCAAAGAGAACACACAAAAATAGATATTAAAATTGACAGTGTCCGATCTCGAGCCCTGAAAGCTTATACGGGTCTATCGTTCATTCGACAAAACGATTAATCGGTTCCATCCTTTTCATTTCGCCGTCCAAATGTTCATCCTCGTGTCGTGCCTCCTCGTCTTTTTGCTTCTGTTCCTCGGTCGGCTTTCCGTTTGAACGGAACAATCCGTGAAGCCACGGATAAAGCTGGATAATCGGCAAGGACCTGTAACCTGCTACCCAAAACGAAACAAATAGAAAAATGAACCGTGAAACGTTCGAGATATATGTAGGAGAGACCTCGCAGACAAAGAACAGAGGATACGCGACATTGAAAGACGAAGAAATAAAACATGGAGGAGAGGAAACATAAAAATGAAATACAACGTTTAAAAGCGGGATCTCGCAAAAATCAATTGGTTTTGCTTATCCGAGGGATGAAACGATCAAATCGTCGAAATCGAAAATTAAACGTGAGAAGATTTTGTTTGAAGAAACTATCATTGTTTCGTCGCAGACTCGTTTTTATTGGTATTTCAGAAATAAACTTTAGACACTTATTAGAGTCTCTTGATGTGACTAGTTCTAGGAAAAAGTAAATTTTTCTCTTTATTTTTTTCTCCAGAAAGAAACGAGCAATCGAAACGAAGTAAAAAGAAGAAATCTCGTAAAAAAGAAGGATACGTCTTTTAATACAATTAATTTCGCCGGCTGATAACGCAACTCACGGAGGGACGAGATAAAGGACTGCCGGTACCTAAATTTGACGATGCTTACACGGTCCGGCACTTAAGTGTAAATACAAAAGCGATATTTGCTGAAAGGGTACGTGTCTTCTCCGCCGTGAAACATTTCAATTTCCGTGGCAGATTGCAGTGGACTTTCATATGTACATTCTATGTACTTTCCTACAATTGGCTATTTCGTATTGTATTTAAAAGTTAGATTTTTATTGATATGTATCGCAAAAACGAGCGTATTTTTCTCATCGACCATCAATCATTAGCCCCTCCCCTCCTCTCCACGAAGGATTCTGTGGATTTTGAATGAACTCCTGAAATCATCACAATTGAAATAGTACAGCGAATAAATTGAACATAGATGTCAACAAGATATTGATGAGTTAATGCAAGAATTCACTTGGAATCTTTGTGAAATGAAGACTCGATTAAACTACAAGAGAAATACAAATGAAATGCAAAATGAAGGAGCAGAACTTGATAACGAACTCATTGTTAAGACTTTGACAGTCAAGAATATAAACGATGCCTTCATGCATCTTGACAAGTTTTTGATCATCATGGAAGAATGTGATATCCCAATGGAGAACGTGTATCTCATGTACGAATGACAGCAAAAAAAAAACACAGAACTCTTTATCAAAGAAAGAAAAAGAAGAGTTCAACTATCTTGATAAATTTGTAAAGGAAACCAGGTACTAATCCATAAATAACTAATAAATAACACTTTAGTCATTTATATGCTAATACCTCATTAAAACCTTATTAAAAAATAAATATTTTAAAAACAGTATTTTTTATTTCAGGGACAATTTTAGGAGCCAATTATATATGAAAGTCGAAGACCACCTGTAATTTTTAACAATCCCTGAGATCTTATTATCCCGTCTGGATTTTTCTTAGTTACCAAAGAATATCTTCGTACTTCACTGAGTGCAAAAATTGCCGCTGGTTTTTTTTTCCCAGGAAAGACGAGTCCAGTGGTAGTTGCTCAGCTGCAACGTGCGCAAGTGTTTACGTTCATAAACGTTTCGTACAATTTATTTCGTCCCCCCCTACTGACGCTGGACGAAGTCGAACGATCTCAAAGAGGGTGGTCCACCGTTTCCATCGGACACTCCAATGAATTTGGAGAAGCGTTACTGTATACGATCGCGAGAGACGTGCATTTTCATTGCTCGTGCAACTCTCCCGTGCGATTCTTTGAAGGATCTCAGGCATTGGCCGAGAGGGGAGACTCAAAACGAAGAAAACATGAGTAAGTGGCTAAGCGTGACAAAGGACGTCGATACTAATTCCTCGACGTATCCTTCGCTTCTTCGCGTTGTGAATAACGACCGGTCACAATATCGTCAGATTCAGCAGAGAGAGAGAGAGAGAAGAAATCTACATAAAAAAATACGAGTAAGATTTCTCGGAGGAAGAAAATGTCGACAGACATAAATAGGAGTTGGCAGGCTGAGTTGGCAGGACAAATTTACAGGGAGCCAAGTTATTTTTACCCGGACAAAAGACGTACGATTTTTCTCCCAAGTAAGTTCTCTTCTCCTCTCGGAGAACTTAGCACCTCTTTTAAAGAGATTCGTTCTTCTCTTAGATGCCAGCCGACCGAGCTACCTTGTAATCTAGCGGCTAGCACGATGAGTTCCTTGCTTTCTTTCTTCGAAACGCGTGCTTGTTCCACGACGGAAACTATTTCCTATGTTGATGACGCTACTGTTTTCTACGTCGATGA